TGCACAATCTTTACCAAAAATCATACACAAGTCATCATAGTAGTGAAACTCTCTCTATCCTTCTAACTAAATGGAGCCTTACTCTCTCTCTCTTTATTTTTTTTTTTTTTTGGTGTGGTGGTGTTCCTTGTAATGTTTTAATGAGGCCAGCTCCCATGATGAGAGTAGATCTTGTGGTCTTTTAACCAACCTTTTAGCCTTATATATCTTCTTAGGGTTGTTTTTTTTTTTTTTCTTTTAGACTCATGATGCAAGATAAAAAATAAATACACATTAGAAACGTCGTGTGCCTCACAAAGGTCAAAACACAAAAAGTTACTTCATATGTCGCATGTTTAGTAGGTAACGTTTAAAGTAAATTTAAATGTCGATCACATAAATAACGTCTAACGTGGTACCTTTCTCGACACACAATTAGAAGTCATTTTTATGGGCAACGTTTAAAGCCTTAGAGGTCCCTACGTCTAATGCTTTTTTTGTACTAATGTTTATATTTTTTATTTTGGCGACTTGAAACTTTACATGGGATAGGAATAATATTAGGAGGGCACCAACCAGATTAAAATGTATTTTTTTAGTTGTTCTCTTTTTACTTATTAAAATATTTTTACAGACATATATATTTGCTAGTATAGTAATTCATATAAGCATTAATGAAAATCCAATCAATCGAGAAAGAGAGAGTATGTCAAGAAAATCGACATCAATGCATGAATTTAGTAAATTAAAAGAGAACTCTTGACTATAAAGACTATTGCTAGTATATTTATTAGTATAATAACTTATTTTATAACTCAAATCATATTATTATAGTATTTTTTATATAAAAATTTAAATTTAACTTTTTTTATTAACAAACTTTACAATATTGCAAACATGGAGTGGAGTTATCAAAAAAAAAAAAGAAAAAAAAAAAGGAAGCGCTCAAATCAGTATCAAGAGGCAGTGACTTTTTGGTTTGGATGTTGATGAGTGATGACGGAATGCTTTGTCAGAATTTAAAAATAAAAATAAAAATAAAATAAGAAAAAAAGTGGCAAAGATTGTGATAGTAAGGTGCACTTGGATGGTCAAACGAAAACTCTTTGGTCAGTGATGAGAGTGACTTGGGCTAGCTAGCCCCTTTGAAAGGAAACGTCTCCTTTTCTTTCAGAATCTTCTTATATTTGCGTGTGAGGAATTGTGGGGACTACATCCCCCTAAACCATGGGCCTATTTATTTGATATCCTTTTCAAATTCCATGTACAATAAACATATTCTCCCTCCAAAATAGTACACAAGGAATTTGTTAGTGTAACAAAAACAAGGACTTCCATAAACAATTATCAGGGTCAAATCAATAATTTGCGATATTTCTGTGTCATGGCCTCTTACTATTTTTCAGTCTTACTACTTTTGATGTGATCTCCAAACTTATTTTAAAAAAAAAAAAAAATACTCATCGAGTTGTTGGAAAGTAATTGAAAATGAAATGCATATTCAACGGAGCTGGATATTGGAAGTATAATTAAAATAAAAAATAAAAATAATGAATTGAAAATTAACGTTGTCATTGATTTAATTAATAACACTCTTTTTTCAATGTTTCCTTCAAAAATTATGTATATTTATTATTTTTTTTATAATTTACACTGTGTATCAATAATATATGTTCTGATCAACTCAATATATATATATATATATGTTCCAATAATTTCAACGTTTACACTCTCCCTCTATGTGTGTGTGTGTGTGTGTGTGTGTCAATACTTGCATATAAAAGGATTTTAAGATGCAAGCATCTTCTCTTTATAGCTTACCTTTCAAAAAAAGAAAGTGGAAATTTATAGCTTGAAGCTAGAGAGAAAACACTATTACATCGACCCCCAAGTAGGTTATATGTTTTTCTGTATCATATTAAATGTTGAGTTTAAAATGACATCTTTTTTCTAAATTAAAACAACCTTTTAAATGTATAAATTAGAAAACAATTTATTCTCTTGATTTCTTTTTCATGCACATGAGATAGTAAGGTACGTACATTCCGCCGCTTTTCAATAAATAGCTCAAGAAATTCAACGAACAACTCATATATTTAGTACGGTAAAACGTATTATGTTAATCATGCAAGCATATATGTTTGGTCTACCGTCTACCAACGTATATAATTCATGAATTATGTGTAATGTTTGGAAGCATAATTCATAATTACTGTTGTGTCTTTTTTCTTTTAAAATTAAAAACAATCATAGGATGTTTGATTCTTTTGAAAATGTTAACTTATGCACCAAGTGCACGGAACTATATTTTCATTAGCAACTCTTCATTAATCCTTTACTTCACTGAAAGTAACGAGTCAAAATGTACTTTTCTCATTAAGATTCATTGAATCCTAGTACCTTCTCATAGAGACATGGTTTAAGGCTTTGAATTGTAAATATAAAATATATACTACAAGAAAAAAGGTTTTTTGCGGCTAAAAATCTGGTGGCTACTTGTGTTTTTGGGTCGCAGAAAGTTTTTTGGCGATTAAATTTTTGGTCGCTAGGTGGTCATTACTGCTTGGTTGCTAAAAGCTTCCTTGCGAAACAATATTGCCCTTTTGCAACCAAGATTTTAGTCGCTAAAAGTTATTACTCTAGTAACAAAAAGTATATATGGAATTTATGACAACTAAACAATTCTTTTGCGACTAAATTGAAAGTTTTACTACCAAACAGTTGGTCGCAACAATTTTTGTGCAAGAGGCCTAACAAGTAAATTGTGCAACTTTAGTAAAATCTCTTATAATTGAATTGGATTAACCCACTTGCGTTTGGGTAGTCTTACATCCATTAAGCTTTCTTTGGGTGCATCCCTACTGACTTTTAATAGTGGTGTTGTAAGTACGTGAAAGGATAATTGATATCAAATTTTCTTATTACATCTCAATTAGGTTAAAAGTTTACTAGAAATTCTAAAGTTTATAATTTGCCAAGAAGTTTACGGATTCAAAAAAGTTTCCAGCAGATTATAAACTTAAGCAACTTTTAGAAATATTCACTTTCATTATGAATAGGTGACAAAGAAATACACTTGATAGGAGGAGTTAGGAAAGAGAAATCTAATCCCAGTCTATAGCTTTACTTCACTTTGAATGGGGGAATAAATCTTAATATCACTTTTCTACACTTGCTAATTTTTAGTTTTTTGTTTTTTTTGTTTTTGGGAATACTTAATATTTTTTAGTTAATAATTATATATTCCTAAGGATATTTCTTTGCTTGCGTTATTATAATTCCTATTTTGGAAGTAAATGCTCGAAAAAGAGCTCAATATTGTCTGAGCTTGATTCTACTTCCTCCGCATACTGTAAAAAGAGTTCGAGAACAATATTCACCATTTAGCCAATATCTTTACCCTTGGTTCATTACAATTTAATAAATATACACTAAAAGTAAAACTTGAGTGCAACTGTTTAAGAATATTCGAAAACACAAAAGACTACAAACTAAAGGTTGAAAATTTAATATGAGGTTGACATTCGCTACCTACTTGTAAAGTCCTTAATTTATCAAGTTAAAGGTATGCTTTCTACTATTACTATTTATAAAATGAAAAATAATTAAAGTAATCTTCTTTTTTAACCTTAATGTGATTTAAGATCGTATTCTTAAGAATATTAAGAGAACCACCTATGTTCGTTAAATAGCTGAAAAACACCCATTCTCACAAAATTTCACTCATTTTTTTGAATTCCAATCTTGCCCCCAACGATTTAAGCCCAAACGATGAGAAAATTGTCCAATTCTTGAAGATCCAAAGGGAGAGATGTGAATGGGAGTGTGGAGGTTTTCGTTTTTCTTTCTAGCTGTTGAGGCATATAGGACATCATTTAGGGATTTTTTACGATGGTTTGGTCTTTGACGTTCTCTCTCTGTTTTTTTTTTTTTTTTTTTTTTTTTTTTTTTTTTTTTTTTTAAGATGCAGTATATTTTATGCATATTTCAAGATCCTTCTACAGTAGCCTCGTATTTATAGTGTATAATTCTGACTACTGCATTTAATCAAAATATATACAAATTAAAAAACACACAAAATAAATAATTTTTGATGTAGATAAAAAAAAACCCGATATTTCATTTTTTGTGTCCTATCGTAGAAATCTCCCATAGATTAAGGTTTTGCTTTTCTTTTAATAAGCATTTCTTTCATAAAAAAAAAAAAAAAAAAATTGGCCTTTACAAAGGTTGGCTTTGACCCAACTTCTTGATGCGTTAGCGAAAGGCTGTATTCGTGTTGGTCAACCCATTTGTGGTGATCGCACATATGCTTAATTGTCCACATGTCAACGTCAATAAGATGCACCTCCTAATAAGTCAGATTATGGTTAAAACATGCATAAATGTCTCGTTTATTTCACTAATTCGAGTTTAAAATTCAAATTTTATTATAGTAAAAAGCTCTTAGAAACAGTCACATCTAGTTTTTTTATTATAATAAAAAATTCTCACATAAAATTATATTTTAACTCGAATCAACGAACTAAACGGACTTGAATGGAGTAGATAATTTAGTTGTATAGTCTTCTGATGTTAAACAAAAACCCATAACAATCTAACCATCACTAAGGAAGGTTAATTAATTATGAAGGGATTAAAGAGAATTATTTCTCAATTCTCACCATGTAGCCTAAAAAAAAAAAAGTTACGACTTTATAGAAGGTAATACATAGTAGCAGTTTAGTGAGAAGTACAATTTGAAATATCAACATAAAAGTTTGGTCAATATCATAAAAATATACTTTAAGGAAATTTGACAAAGAGCTTTTCAGCGGTACATATACATGATGACATGATGATGAACAACTCTCATTAATTGCAGCAGAATAGGAGGTTGTCGTTACACTTAAACCAGGCAAAAAAGTGGAAAAGATAAAAGGGAGAATAAGATATGAAAGGGGAAATAACAACCTATTCGTTTTCCATCTATGGCAAAGTAGAGTCAACTATTTCCAAACCTAGCTATTTTGATCTTTGACAAAAAAAAAAAAAAGAAAAAAAAAAAGAAAAGAAAGACTCCTAATATTTTTGCCAAATTTGAGGGTTTTTTTTTTTTACCACAACATGAGCATTATTGAGATGGGGTTTTCTCGAACAGTCCTAGCCTATTATCGGCCAGCCTTGATTTGTAGGCAGATTTTTTGTATTCCCACCATGTGAATTCCTTGTATAAGCTTTCTTCTCCTTTGGCCACCAAACAAGGCAAAGGTGCTATTTTCTCACTCAAAGGTGGCCCTCCAAAGTAGATCATGGAAATTCTTGATTTCCTAGGATCAGCCAGTACTCTGTGCTTCAAACTCTTAAACCTCCCATTCGTCATAACCTGAATATCAAGAACAATAAATTATTTACAATAATAGTCATCATATATAACAAGAACAATAACTATTATTTATGTTAAGTATTGTGAAAAAATAACTGCAAATCACAACATACCATAATTGATAAGGTATAGCTAGCGGTAAATTTACGCTTAGGTTTTTAATGTTGAGGTCAAGATTTCGAATGCTTACTCATTTTATTATTATTTTTTTTTTTAAAGAAAAAGACAAGTAATAACTAACAACCGAATGATTTTTTTTTATTATAAAAAAGCCCTGTCACGTGACAGTGCATGTTTTTAATATAAAATTGTAAAAGAGCAAATGATGGAAAAAATTGTCATAAGATGAGAAAATAGAGAAAAAAAAATAGAAAAAAGAAAACAGAGAGAGAAAGTACAAACTTGAAAGAAGAATAAAACAGAGCAATGCCCGTTTAAGAAATTCCAAAGGAAAACACACCACAGAGAGAGAACTGTACCGACTGCCCAATACGACGTATGATTTGACCTCCAACACAGAACTGAAGTAAAAAAAAAAAAATTCTCTTTTTTTTTTCCTAATCTTCCTATTGTCATCAAATCAAAATAAAAACAGAAGGAAGAAGAAAAAAGAAAAGAAAAGACCTGAAATGGAAATCTGGGACAAGTCTGTTTATTTGGATAAAACCGAACCAGCTGATTATAATTATTACAATTATTATTATTACCTGCAATGAATCGCCAACGTTGATGAAAAAGGAGGAGTGATCAGAAGGGACGGAAACCCAAGTCCCATCTCTGAGACAGATTTGGAGTCCTGACGTGTTGTTGGATCTCAAGACAGAAATTATCTGTGGGTCTGTGTGTTCCCCAAACCCAATCAAATTCCTTCCACTCAATGCTTGAAGCTCCGGGCATGGCGGATAATGATTCATCCTAAAACATGAGTCACTTTTCTCATCTCTCAAAAGCTTGCTCATCACTTTCCTATCTTCAATCCCCAGCCCTTCCGCCATTAATTCCACTATCTCGAACGCCATCTTCTTCACAGCCGCAACATAATTCTCAACCGCAGACCTAAAACGGAAAAAAAAACAAAAAAAACAAAAACAGAGCATTTTAAGAAACAGGGGAGAAGTTACATACAAAAGCAGAGTACTCTGTTGTTTGTTTTCATTGTTTTTTTACCAGAAAAATTGTGGGTTTTCCCGGAAAATGAAGCGAGATTTTTCGGAGAAGACGTCGGGATTGGTGTTGAGGAGGAGGTATTCGATCCAACCAACATCGCCGTTGGGGCCAATTCGCTTGCTGCCGTAGCCGAAAGGGTCGGGAGGGCCGGCTCGGTCTTTTTCGGATTGGGGGAGATTGAAGAAATTGAGAGCTTCGGATTCGAGGCGGGTTATGAACTCCATTGGGACGCCATGGTTGACGACCTTGAAGAATCCGAAGTCTTCGCAGGCTTTGACAATGGAGGAGCTGGCCTCCGGGTGCGACAGGTCCACCATGGGGATTCCATTGAAGAGGCTAGAGGTGGGCCTGCATGATTTTATTGGAGAGAAATGGTCTAATGCTGGCTGAGACACAACCACCATGGTTTTCTTTTTTTTCTTATTTTTTTTAATAGTTTTGTGCTCTTTGTTGGGTTTTAAGAAGAGAGAAATAAGAAGAAGAAGAACTGAAGAAGGAGAAGAAGAAGAAGAAGAAGAAGAAGAAGAGAGTTTGGTTTTTTTTTTTTTTTTTTGGTGGGATTGGTATTTTGAGTTTGAGGGTGATATGGTGGGGGTTTTAAATGGGCAAAAAAGTGGGCTTTGAGGAGAGAAAATTTTAAAGAAATTAGTGTTTAGTTGTACTAAGTACAGTAAACACTGCTAAATTGCATGAGGGGCATAGGCGTTGCAAACTATAAACAAGAGCCATCTGGCATTTGGGTGTCTGCTTGGCATTTATCCTATCGAGGGAGGCAAATTTGCTTTGTTATTTCTTCCTATTTCTGTTAGGAAAAATGTTAAAATATTATTGGTGGTCATTGAATCATGTGTAATTACCAACGCCATTTTAGAATTCGTGGTCGCCTATGAAAAAAAAAAAAAAAAAATCTCGTGAGACACAATTTTAAACCGTAGTAATTAAGAAGTTGTTTGGTTGAGAGATTTGTACCTCGATTCGAATCATGATTTATGGTTCGCTACAATGTTTTCTCTCATAAAAAATACACGTAAATCAAAAATAATTTTAATCTCATGATTCTAATCCATGAACCAAACGTCTCCTAAATTAAAGAAAAGAGACTTGGGGGTTTCAGGATTTAGGTTCGATCGATTAAGATTTAACTCAAAAATTATTAAAAAGAAAAAGTATATGATTTGCTTTGGTTTTGTAGAGATTTAATATTTACATCATTCTAAATAATTTAGTGTCATTGTGGTATTTTATTTTTTTATTAATTAAATTATACTTGTTTATTTTTTAATATATTGGCATAAATAATACTTTTTATTATGTTGAGGGGTACTTTTGATTTTTTTCAAAAATTACATTAATAGGTGCAATAGCCCCATATATTGAACCTAACTATTTTACAATTTATTAATAAAGATGTGATAATTTAATATTGTATTCTATTTGCAATATTCTAAGCGTATTTTGTTATAAGATATCTAAAATGTTATGTAATTTTTTTAAAAGTAGGATTATGTAAAATTCCGCAAATTTTTGTAAGCAGTTTACTAATATGAGAGTTTACATATATTATTGTTCTTTTTAAAAAGCAGTAATCAAACTCTATTTATATGAATTCAATAATCTCAAAAATAAAAAGAACATTTTTTAAAATTCAAAAGAACAAATGACATCTTAACTAAGTTGGAAATATAATCCTTTACCAAGAGATTAAGAAAAAAAAAAAAAGATAGAAAGACCAAATTAAGCCATTCTGTTTTGAGATATACCCTTTTCTCGCTTATCTCTCGTGTTATTACGAAGATATAAGACTAAAAAATCTTTTCTTTTTTTTTTTCAAATTTTCATAATATGAAAAATTTAAGGATATTACGGATGCATTCTTAGTCGTGGATTTCCCGATTTGCTACTTAGCACGTCACATTACCTTTGTTTTCCTCCAAAACACGTCACATTACTTATTATTCAGCGACGTGTTTTGTACCTTGTAATCGCAACATAATGAGGTAAGAGACCATATATATTCAAGTAATATTATCCCTATTATAATATGAGAAAGAAAAAAAAAATAAATTTAGAGGTTTGATAATTTTATGGCGTGTAATAATATGCAATGAATCTTTGCATACGTTTTACTTTCTAAGGTTATATAATTTTGTCAACGGTTTCTGTGTGAAATTCCATTTGCAAGAGATATTATTCTCCTTCTTAAGGAATTTTCAACTACTTTCACACCCTTTTTAATATAAAGAACATGAAAAATTCTCCAAACTCAAAAAGAATTTGATTCTTGGAGTTTAATAATAGATTTACCAAATGAAAATCCAACACTGCATCTTTATATGATTCACTGATCAATCTATAGGTCCTTCATGTGTGTTTAAAATATCTTATCGCAGGAAAGAGGGTGTTCCTCTGCTAAGAATAACAATTGTAAGATGACATTTTGTGAATTTCATTTGGTAACATGACATTAATTTTTCTGATTTTCTTCTGACATTATGAATTATAAGAGTTGTTAAATACCACTTATCCTTAATCAAAAATTGAGTACATTATTACCATTGTCTGCAAATTTGTAGGTCTCGGTCTATGAGTGCATGTGCATGTGATTTCTTATTGTTAAAATTTAGGGCTAATACACAATTTTTCCTTTGGATATGAATGCATTTTTAGCTGTTGGATGAGGCTTAAAACAATCTCATCCGTTGATTTTTTTTAAGCTTTTATCAAACAGTAGCTGACAACTTGACTCAAATAGTATTTTAATCATCTAATGAGTGAAAAGTAAGATATATGCATTGCAATATGCACTATAGTTCCACGAAAATCTGATAATTGTCTCTTTCAGTTGGAATAAGAACTATTAGTTTTACCTTATAGGTAGACTTTATTTTAAGGAAATTTCTACGGAAAGATTAATTGAAAAAATAAATAAAAAATTATATGTTCTACATTTTTTTTTATTGTAATATTAATCGGATCTAATAATAAAAAACACACTACTCATACTAGTTCTCATCCTATCATAAAAAGATCCTTATTTTGAATCTCTTTACACTTCAGTACTGAACTGCAAAAAATCCTTCAAATAGAAAACATGGAGGATAAAGCAAAAACTAAAGAGTTGTCGGACCACATCATATTACGTTTTTTTTTTTTTTTTTTTTTTTTTTTTTTTTTTTTTCCCAAAAGAGTTTTTTTTGTTTAATCTGATCCACCTATCTCATATTGTTGCAAGAAAATCCAGTCACTTTCTCGAGAATTAAAAGCACCCGATTTCTTTTCCATTAGCAGGGTGATAGAAGTAGCATTTATTGCAGAAAATCCTACTCCTTTTTCTCTGACGAAATTTAAAATGGTCAATTCAAGAAAATTTTCTAAGAATGTGAAGTTCAAAACCTTTTTTTTTTTTTTTTAAAAAAAATGGCAAGTTACGTTTTGGGCCCTCTCCTATTCAATTGGGGCAGGGATTTTATTATTGTTAGCCTCTGCTGTCATACATTACATACCTTCTTATTCCAATATTGTATTAATGGCTTTAGTATTTGTTCTCTTCTTTTGCGTCCAAAATCACTACTCATTGTGATCTCTTGCTTCAATTCATGCAAAATAGATAGAATCTAACCCGTTTTGTTGATTTTCTCTTGGACAGCTGATATTTCTCATGCATGATGTTGATGAGGGACACTCCCTAACCAATCCCATCCCATCCTGTAAGTTTTGACCCCACAGAAGTTGGCAATTTAGGCCCCACTTTATATAAATTTTTTTGTCTGTTAAATCGGAATTTTCGTAGACGAATTATTACACTTGATTTTTTTCCTCATCATATTCGTGGGTTACATTATATTGAAGGACTACGTGCATAATAATATCGGGATCATTCTACGGTTGGAATTATTATTGGAAGTGTACATTTTTTAATCTTAAATCTGATCAGAACCATGTAAAAGAACATGCATAAAGACAGTTTTTGTAACAAATTTATTAGTTAAAAAACACAAATCTTTTCAGGTTCTACCATAAAAATCTCTTCATAATAGAAGCTTAGAAATAATTCACATTTTTGTAATACGAGCTTTTATTTAGATTTCATAAAAGTATAATTCAAATATTTGATCCTAGGTCTTAATTTAATTCTATCAGTAAACAAATTAATTGGACAAGTTGGTACACTATAAATTTCTAGTAAAACTCTTTTTAAAGCTGTGTTTGAAGTTTTTTTATATAGAAAATAATTTCTTGATAAAATTATAAAACGTATTTTTAAAAATTATTTTTATTTAAGATTTAAAATATTTTTATTTTTATTTTTATATAAAAATTAAAATTATTTTAAAATGAGTTTTAAACACAACATAAAAATTTAAGTTTTCTTTTGTTTTTGTTTGTTTTAGAATAGCTATTTTTGTAGTTGGGGTTGGTATGTAGTGGGAATATTGAAGAAAAATATTCCTCGAAAAAATATATATTGAAAAAAAATGCGGCTAACTTCATTTTTTGAAACTGGAAAACATCATATCAAGTATTGTCATGAGATAAGTTGGGAGTACAGTGATAGACAGAGCATTAGCCCCACTAATGCGTGATGTAAACCCAGGTGTGTCTAATTATGATGTACTTACTAGCTAGTCTACTTTTTCGTACTACTTAATTAATACTTGTATATTAATCTCCATCGGTTAAAACATGCATCTTTTCGACCACAAAAGAAAAAATCATCCATATCATCTGGATATTCAATGTTCGTTTAATTTATTAATTTAAGTTAATATATAATTTTATATAAAATTTTTTATTATAACAAAAAAATAAATATTATTTTTTTAAGAATTTTTTATTATAATAAAATTTAAATTTTAAATTCAAATCAGTAAAATGAACGAGAACTTAGACTGATGATAAACAAACTTAAAACTCTAGTCAAAGTTATTGTAGTTATGAGGTGCAGTAGTACTTATCCACAACTGAACTTATTTTTTTAATTTATTTTCTTAAGAGTTCTATTTCATGTTACCAGTTGTCCATCTTCATAGGGTTTCTTGGTACAATTCAGCCTCTCCTTCGGCCTTTTTTTTTTTTATTTCAAGATTTGAATCTAAGAACGTCTTTTTACAGGTTTGGTAAAGATGGTTGGATTTATAAAAAGCGTTCTTGTATCGGCTCACGTTTCTGAGTTGGCGGCTTGCAAGCTCGAGCTGTCATTGGACCAACAGTGAATTTTCATTTTCGGTAGAAGTTGAAATAGTGAATTGGATTATAATAATAATTTTCAAAAGTTACCGTTTCCACTAAAATATTCATAGAAACTTGAAAATTCAGAAAAATTACGTCGGTTTATCGCAAAAGTTATATATTTCTGTGAAAAACGTAGCGTAATATGAGACACGTTTATGGAAATGTTGATAAAATATCCATAAAATTGTATCAAGTTTTTGGTGTCCTCTATGGGCTCGTTTAGTTCGTTGATTCGAATTTTTAATTCGAGTTGAGATGTAATTTTATGTAAGAACTTTTTACTGTAGTAAAAAA